GCCGCCCCCGGTTCCCATCGCCAGAAAAGCAAAGGCTTACGACGGCGCCGATCCAAAGCGGCAGGTTCTCCATGCCATTCTAACGCGCGAGCGAGGGGGAGGGGGGGAGGGACCTGCGTCAGCGCCACGTATTGCATGTGCAGAAGCGCACGCGGACTGCCGCTCACCTCGTGCGCACCGACCATCCGCGCGAGGCGGTCGCGCGTGGCCTGGTCGAGGTCGCGCGTGGCCTGGTCGAGCTTCTGGTTGTCCTTCAGGCACGCCATGTTGGAGCGCAGCTGGACGCTGGCCGGGACGACAAGGTGAGCAGGCAAGCGTCACGCACGTTCAGCGGGAGCGACTCACTTGTTCTACCCGGTGGTGCTCGACAGCTTCAGGAACTGCAAAGAAGACCGACGTTCAGCACCGCAGCGGTCTGTCACCTGTTTTGTGGGGAGCTCGCCCGGACGAATGAGGGGTAGAACGCGATGAACCACACCCCTGGGATGGAGTAGAGCGCGAGACCGGGTGTGTTGAGGCTGAGCATGGTGTGGAGGGTGGGTGGTACGGGGATGGCCTGCAAACCGCGACGGAAGCGCGTTTGATATCCAGGGAAGGCCCCACGTCAGCGTGTCCTGTGCGCTCCCACCATATGCGGTTGAAGGCCGGCTTTAACGCGAGTATAGATAGCCTCCAATGCTCTTGGGCACCCGTAGAGTTTGATGTTCTGGCTTTCATGCTTGGCAGAACGGTCTGTGGGAGGGCGCGGCGGCGGCGCCGCGTCGTCGTCAACTTCATGCGCGTGCTCGCCACTATGGTCGCTCGTACCGATTCCGCTGTCGATGCTCGTGCGCATCGTGCGCATCAGCGCGTCACTGAACACGAGCTCGCTCGTCCGCTTAGACGCCTCCGCGTACGGGTGGTGGTGCGCCGCCCTCCCTTCCCGGGGCTGTTTCTGGTGCTACTGCCGCGCGGTGCCAGTGGCGGCGGCGGCGGTAGCAGTGACAACCACCGGGGTGGCGATCTCGGGCGAGTAGCGGATATCGTCCGGGTCGAACTCGCGCACATAGTCCGGCGTGAGCTCAGCATACATCGTCGTCGTGGCGCTGTTCCAGGGGGGCACGTCGAAGCTCTTCAGCCTGGACCGCGGTATTGTGGCATACGGGTGTCCCGCCCGCGCACACGGGCGCACCAGGACGGGCTGCCGACGTCGATTCGCCCACTGCTGCTGTTGCTGCTGCTGCCCGCCCCCCTCATCCTCGGCCGCGCCACTCGTGTGCGCAGACGACGACGGGCCCTGTGCGTACGGGTGCGCGGGTATGCGGATCGGCTCGCGGTAGGACGTCTGAATTTGCTATCTGACAGCTGTAGTCATTTTCGACGCCCAGAGCGCACTTCGCCGATGTTTTGTACAGTAAGAGCACGAGATGTCGATATACTTGGGGTGGCCGAAGATTACTGACGTCTCGTCGCAAAATATCCGCGAGTGATGTGCATTCCTCTTGAGACGCCAAACTTGCAAAGATAACAAACGGCGCACCCAGTGGAGGACCCAGAGACAGCGTATGCTGGCAATCCAGTGTGGCTGTGATGCGCTTCACGCCGTTCTGGTATCAGTGGGAAACGTTGGTCGTGCGCAGACACCCTGGGGCTGCAGCATGCCTCGCCTTACACTATCATCCTACACTGTTGCTGCACCTTCTTATCGCAGAACTTGAATAGGGCCCAGTAGTGCGTAGCTTATATGTCTGGAATAGATCATGCTGCATGCGCTCGAGCAGTATGCGCCCTGAATAGCTTCGAACTTCAGCAACGATGTGCATATACGAAAGTTGGAAACGTACGTCTCACGCTACTCCTCTCGTGCATTGCCACCGGCGGCCCACTTCCTGCAGCATTTCCCAGCCCCACTTACGCACAAAGTTCCTGATGCTTGCAGCCGGTCATATACCCTGCCTCGGAGTACAGAGACGATGCCCCACCCCTCCCTCCCCCGACGACTGTACAAAGCACGTTGACGAGAGCGCGAAGGGCGTAGCTGGCAGCCATTTCGAGCCACCGACAGCGTGCCGAGTATTTATATGTGCGAACATTTCATTTGCTCAGGGTCGACGGAGATAGTTGTGGGCTCGAGCGACCATGCACGGCGGAGATGTGAAGTCGGTCATCGTTCATGTCGAGTCGTCTCTGAGGTTCAGGGAGCGAATCCTGGTAGACAGAATACAGTCTGGCAGCTGTCAACGAGGTTTGTGCAGGCGAAGAATTGTGTACAAAATGTTTGGGGCATCAACTTCGCGCTCAAGAGCGGGGCGCTCGACCCTCGGCTTCAGTCTTCATCGCATCAAACGGCTGGCGCCTCTTTCCCAGCGAACGCCATGCACACGCTGGACAAATAGTCGCCGCAAATGCGCCGAAGGATCGGCGGTTGACCCGCTCTGTACTTGGAAGCTGAGTATTATGGACGTCATGTTTGTGTTGGTATAAAGGGCGCGCAATTGCACAGCTATCTGATAAGGGAGCTTGTCTAATATTGCGACTTCCGGCTGGTCAGAAACGGAGAGGGGCGAGAATCCGAGGCTGCACAGGTGGATGAAGCAGAGAGCGAGGGCGAAAGGACAACCAAGGACACCTTGGTGTTTGCGGTTGCTTGAGACATGGAGGGAAAGGAAAGGCAATTTCAGTGAAGGTGAGTGCTACCACAAGATCGGTCTCAGAGTGGCCAAATGACTTCCCTCTGGCAACATATTTAATTCAATCTCTCAGGCGTAGCACTTGCGGTACATCTATTCCTGCAAAACGTCTCGTATTTAGTGAGTGTCGAGAATGCATACAGCTCAAATTGCCAGTGAGGAACCCAAGTCTCGAGTGAGACGAATCGCGTTCGTGAACGGCGCCCTACATGCAGGCACCCCAGATGCTGAGGACGATGGTACAGGACTTCACATCGCTCACGTTCGTTAGCTTTCACTCACTTGCTGCTGGCAGACCACACGCGAGCTGACGTGATTGTTTCATCGTTTTAGCAGTATGATAGCGTTTCTTGCTTGTGGAAGCGTGCAGGATGTTTGAGCTCTCTCTCTCTCTAGTGCTGCTGACTCGGAGACCAGCCCACTTCTTTGGTTACCAGCTTCCCGTCTCAGGTAAGTTCGTGATTACGTCGTGAAAAATTTCCAGCTGAGGAGCAACCGCAATCGAGCGGAGAATCAGCAGAAGGCAGTGCGATCGAGGTAAAGCGTACTCGCTGGAGGGCAACAACAGCAGTTGAGCTGAGCTGAGTTGGCATGCACTTGATCTGGGCATCATCTGTTTTTTTGACAGCGGGCTTGTTCGGGCATCTCCAGCGACTCCGCTCTTGATAACAGCAAGACATCACATTCGCCCGGCATCGCCGAACAGCACTGGCCATTGTTAGGTGTCATCGAAGGGGTAGCTTGTATCCAACAGTTTCTGGACGACATCAGCTGTTGAGCTGGTACAACCACTGAAAAAACTGCTGGCATTCTGCGATTAGCGTCTGGCTCACTCTCGTGTGCATATTGATCTACTGCTTCGAGTATCAGGTAGCTGGAGGCACGACAAAACACCTAGACATTTAAAAGAGCCACCATGGCTGTGTCGAGCTCAATGAGTAACTTTCCACTGCCACGCTGCAACTTTTAGTCTCTAACCTACACGGGCAGGAACTGATCTACGAACAAAAGGGTAGCGACGCATTTTGTTCTGATAGCTACCAGGAGTCAATCAAATTGTGTTTCCCCGCCTACGCTGGCAAGATATCTCCCGCATCTACTTGCCATTGCAGCAGATGTCTTGTATCTCGGTCGGGGTGACCAGTGTACAGGTTTCATCGCGCTGGGAAATATTCGCAATTGCTTCTGCCAGGCATGACCTAATCACTTACTGTAGTCATCCTATGTGATACAGTCTGTCTGGTAGACACTGTCGACGCTCGCTCCTCCCACGAGCAAAAGTACTACCCAATATGTGGGGAGCGTATGTTGATAGATGGCCGGCCAAATCGCTTATATACCGAGCAGGTACAAACATACCTTCGATGCAGCTCACCTCTCTTTATCCCCTACGCTCACTATGTCAGAACAGTCAACCAATGTTCTTACTCAACTCTTCTGGCAACTGTAAGCATCATCTCAGATAAATTCGTGCTTTGTAATATAATATCCATGCGTTCATCTTCCAGCCAGGTAGGAAACTATGTCTTGGGAGCTGTCGCGTGTAAATACATACTCCACTTTCCGTCACACTACTCATGCTATTTGCCTCTCAGCTCTCGTCATCTACGAATTCGTGATCACCATGGTTGATGAGATTCAGATGGTGTGGAAGAGACCCATCACCGCATCCGCCATGCTTCTTGGCTCGGTGCGATGGTGTATGCTCTTCTCAGTGACCTCCCAAATTCTGCCGATGACTTCAAATGTAAGCCTCGAACATTATTGGGTGACAAAATTCCAAGTGACACTTCTTACAGGAGTAAATTCAATCTGTCCGAAGCTCCCACGCAAATAGCCTACTTACCAGAATCCAATACACAGCTGTACACCATTGAATATCTTGAGCTTCTCATTCGCCCTTCTTGAGTTTATTCAAATTGCACGTACGCCTTGCACAGCTTGCTCGAGTTCGGAATATCCATTGACTTCCATGCGTTAGTCTTCTCCGCTCTGCGCGTCTTCGCAATATCTGGTAGAAGCTATACCTGGTCGCTGGTAGTGTTCACACTGAGCATGGCACCGTTTGCGACGAACCTTGTGGGAATTTCCTCTGCTCAGACTCGTATGTGCTCTGGTTGACTATCTCATGCAGACTGTAGCAATGACGTTGATTTACAATGTCGTCGTGGAACCACCTTTCGGTGTCGATATGCACACCAAAGCCTTCGCCGTTCTCTGCACGGACGAACGATATGTGGGTGTACGCATTTCTCTGTTTTCATTTTTGGTTGCTTATTTGTCCCCCGCAGTCGTATGTGCCTCAACCAAGTACTTTGATTTTCTGATGGCACCTGTTCGTAGTCACATACATCACCCGCGGTTCACTTATCCTTGCCGACATGATCGTGATCATCCTAACATGGATTAAGACATTTGGAGACTGGAAGCGGGCACGCAGAAACAATGTCAAGGTGTCATCGACGACATGCTTGCTCCGTGACGGTTAGTTATCCTCCATAGGTTATCGCATTTGCTGTGGCTGAGGTCTAACTACGCTTGCAGGAACCTTATATTTCATGTGAGTGCAACAGCAAAGCTGTTATCTGAGGGCTGCTCACAGGCAAAAACGGCCACAGCGTTCTGCTAGCACTAAACATAACCCAGCTACTAGTCTACAACTCCCCTACAGTATGTCTTACATGAGCACGTGTGCGGATAGCTGATGTTCTACTTAAGGACTTGTCGTCTGTGGGCGTATTAGTTTCGAACGTGGTATGTAACCTACTTGTCGCTGGACTTTGTGATGCTCAATGACTCACCATACAGCCCCTCGTGCTCATCAATCGTTTCATGATCAACTTACGTACGGCCGGCTCAGAAGTTCTAGACCACTCTATGCGTATTACAGACCAACAGCAAGAGCAATCAACGGTGCAGTTCAGAAGATCAACAAATCGACTGGGAAATATTGGAGGGACGCTGCAGAACGGCTGGGACGACGACGAACCTGTAGAAGAGGAGAATGATACCGCAGAATTGGACGGGACACAACTCTCGTGAGACCAACTTGAACGCCAGGCATAACCCCGACACCGAAGGCTATGCCAGAGTATACACTGTACCAGATAGATAACAACTTTTGTAGCTCATCATATGAGAGCAGAAAACTCAGAGCCCGTGGTATTCAGTGATTGCAATCGCGGTGCATCGTTGAGCTGCTTGGGGCAGCATCCTCTACATCAGCCTTGGCTTCCACCACTGATCTCTCGGCGCAAGTGTTTGGGAAGATAAGATATCTGTTCCACTTTACCCTCGTGTTGACAGTCCAAAAGGTGCCAGGTGCGGTGAAAATTGTGCACTGACAGTGCATGATGTGGCTAAAATACTCACTAAGTGTAATCAAGAAACCTGCGACCAGCATCCTTCAACGCATCCTATATAGTAGCCGTGACCCCGCCGACCTACTTGTACAATTATGTGCTTCCTGTCATTCGTGTTTTCAAGGGAATCTCTCGCCCTGCAGCCCGCTACGAGGGCCGATAGCGGAGACTTTGGCACCATTGTCAAGCCTGATTTTAAGCTGGAACATTTCAGATGATGTTGAATATTAGAGCCCTGACCTAAGCAAGCTGGCGTCTTGACGAATTTCCTAAGGTAGCAGCAGGAGGCACGATGGTGAAAGATGTAGCAAACAAAGGGCCGATCGGCTGTGGGGTCTTTCGGTGATCTTCGCTATCATGAGCGCCTGGAGGCGATGAGCAGCAGGTGCACCCAGTGATAGAAGGCTAGGAGCTGATACTGATACAGAGGAACGCACTCTGAAGAGGCCTCACGATACTCCGCGCGATGGCAATTATTCGATACCATAGGCCTCGAGCCTCCTGCTCGCATACATTACAAATGTCGCGTACTAGTCGTCGGTGTCGGTTCATGCCTCTGCACTATTCTCGCCCCGTCCTGCCCCATCCAATTCTGCGAGGCTAATCTCTTCGTCCACGGGCTCGTCGTCGTCCCAGCCACTCTGCAGCGTCTCTCCAATATTACCCAGCCGATTCGTTGGCCTTCTGAACTGTATCGTCGACTGTTCTTGCTGCCAATTAGTAATATGCGTAGAGCAATTCAACACCTCCCGATCGACCGTTCGCAGGTTGATCATGAAGCGATGGATGAGTATTTGAGGCTGCATGGCGCGTTAATCAGTACCAAGGTAGCTGACGAAGAGTACTGTAGTGGTCCCACCAGGATCTCAACAAATTCCGCTGCGGGTGTCACAATCTTAGACACAGCGTCAGCCGTCAGCCCATGCACTCATGTCGAGGACCTACCGCAGAGTTGTAGGTCAGTATCTGGGCTATGTTTACCGCTAACAAAGCTCTGCATTTGTTGCCACCCATGAGCTACGCTCGACTGGTCGCCTTTGTTGTTATGCTCACATGAAATAGATGGTGCCTGTGTGGGCAGCCAGGCCTCAGCGCTCAGCAGTAGTAGCAAATACAACTCTGCATGGAAGACTACTGACCGTCACGCAGTAGACACGTCGCCAGTGATACCTGGGCGTTGACACTGCGGGCACGCCTCCAATTTCCGAATGTCTTGATCCACGTCAGGACAAGCACAATCGTGTCGGCGAGGACGAGCGAACTGCGGGTGATGTATGCCACTAAGCAGGTTCCATCAACATCTACAGAGTGCGATGATTTGTGGTTATGACACACGTCTGTGCGGTGATAGATAAGCATCGTGGACCAGAAACAGTGAGACGTGTGTATATACATATCATTTGCCTGCGGAGAGAATGGGAGCGTTGATTCGCATGCCACACCGAAGGCCGGATCCGCGACGATCATGAACCTCGACATCGTCGTGAAGACCTACACAGAAGTGTCAACCAGAGCGTATACAGGTATGAGTAGACGCGACACGCACCAGGTTCACTATGAACGGTGCCATACTCAGCGCGAACACTACTAGCGACCAGATGCGGCTCCTATCCCAGATCGCGAAGACGCGCAGGGCAGAAAAGACTGGTGCGTGTAAGTTAGCAGGCAGTCTGGACTCGAGCAAACTATGTGAGGTGTACCCGCGGTCTGAGCAAAGCCGATCAGGATGAACACTTCGGTCAGGATATAAAGCGGTGCGCAGCTGTGTGTCGGGTTTCGGTGAGCAAATTGTACGTGTAAGGGTTTCCAAACAAACTGTACTTACTCCTGCCAGAATTGTCATTTGGAACTGCTGTCATTTAACGATATTCGAGGCTTACATTGGGAGTTGTTGGCGCGAGTTGAAGTGTCGCTGTGATGAGCATGCACCATCGTACTGAGCCAAATAGCACGGCAGATACGGTGACAGGTCTCTTCCACAAGATGTCAATTTCGTCGGAGATGGTAATCAAGAACTCGTAGACGACGAGGGCTGAGGAAGGAACACTGTGAGTCGTGGAATGGGAGGCGAAAGATGTACTCGCATGAGGTAGCTCCCTCGGCATAGTCCGTTACGAGGCTACCAATGCAGAGCGAATGCATGAGTATCGCGTTGTCAAGTGCGAACGGGATTTACGCTTACTCCAGCGAGTAGATTTGAGAAATGGTCTGATTTGACTGCTCTGACATTGTGAACGTGAGGGTGTGCGGCGGAGCTGCATCTAGCACAGACCATCGCTCACTCAATTTATAAGTGACTTGTATCAACACACGCTTCGTGCCTATTAGATAGCACCCTGAGCATCCTAGAAAAAGAATGAACATCGGTAATGATCATCAATGACTGCAGCCGGACAGACCGCATCGAATAGAAGAGACAAGGACAAACAATATCCAGCGAAGTTGATGCAGAAACGATCCAGGTATTCCGGGACCTGTGCATGGTTGATTGGGGCGCAAAACATCCCTTTGGGACGGTCACCATAAGAGTGGCGTACGAGTGGGCGTTACTTACATGCACATACCTGACCCACGCTCGACTCAGACACGGTGGGCTCAGACCCATACAAGGGCAGACCAAACTATAGCTGTGGGACGATATCTTTCATACACCATCATGCGTGATTATCGCCAGCGGCATTTCATTGGATCGAAGGGTTCCTGGATGGCGGGACAGCCTATAGGCGCGGACAGAAGGTGGCTCTACTGCGGGCGAGGACTATGTTGAAGAAGGCCAGAGCTTGGAACGAACCTCTCTGAAATCAAGGTACAGTGGCCGCCAGTGGAAAGCAGTTCACATGTTCGAGATTAGAAGGAGATGGAATCTTCTGTATGTTTCTGGCCCGTGGGGGTGCCCAGTTCCGGCATGCATCACTTCGGGACTCGGTGGGAGAACACAGCGCTGCAGGACGGTGCGTATCATACAGAACTTTCGCACCTATTACTCAGCTCGATAGCACTCATCCGCCAGACCTGCATAAGGATGAGCGTGCCATAGAGGTCCTATGTATCAAGAGAACATGAAAGCAGTGTGAAGTTCATTGCGACCTCATGTCAGGAGTTACATAATCGCAATGACCTCATACTAATAGCGGGAGCGCTGGTCTATCGGATGCTCGGTCCGTGTCTCACCAGGGCGCGCACGACGCGCCGCGACGCATCGAGCCTTCGAGTGTCCGACAAGTTAGATGCGAAAACGTTGAATTAAAGCCAAGAAAGAGGGAGGTACATCCAAGACAGTGGGCACAGATAATCAGAACCGGTCGCCGCGACCTTGTTTGCAGACTTGATGAGGAGAGTCAAGGGAAGCGCTGTGACACACGCAAAAGGTCAGATGCTGCGAGCCGGGACTCTGGGAGAGAGCAGTCGACTCACAAAGGCCAGCAAAAGTCATAGACCTGAGACAAAAACTCGATCAGCGAGAATTCAAGACGTGCAAAAGGCGGGGAGCCTACCGGAGGTTGCCGACAGCCTCGGTGGTCTGGTTGATGTAGATGAAGTTGTACAGGAGGCGCAGGCCGACGCTGGCAAAAGGCACGCTATCAAACCCGTCCACACCAGAAACATCGCAGGCGAAACTCACTATCCGACGGCGAACGTGTTGAGCGTGCTGTGCGGGATGCTGGTAGTATACCCTGCGAGCTGAACAAAGTTTGCCATCAACGTCAGATACGCCGCCCCCAATTCTCATCGCTAGAACGGCGAAGACTTACGACGGCACCGATCCAAAGCGGGAGGCTCTCCATGCCGTTCTGACGCGCGAGCGAGGGGGAAGGAACCTGCGTCAGTGACACGTATTGTGTGTGCAGAAGCGCACGCGGACTACCGTTCACCTCGTGCGCACCGATCATCCGCGCGAGGCGGTCGCGCGTGGCCTGGTCGAGCTTCTGGTTGTCCTTCAGGCGCGCCATGTTGGAGCGCGGCTGGACGCTGGCCGGGACGACAAGGTGAGGAGGCAAACGTCACGCACGTTCAGCGGGAGTGACTCACTTGTTCCACCCGATGGTGCTCGACAGCTTCAGGAACTGTAAAGAGGGCCTAGTTCAGCACCGCGGTGGCGTATCACCTGTTTTGTGTGGAGCTCACCCGGACGAACGAGGGCTCGACCAGTATACGCCTTGAATAGCTCCGAACTTCAGTAACGATGTGCATATACGAAAGTTGGAAACGTACATCTCACGCTACTCCTCTCGTGCATTGCAACTGACAGCTCACTTCCTGCAGCATTTCCCAGCCCCACTGACGCACGAAGTTCCTGATGTTTACAGCCAGCCATATATCCTGCCTCGGAGTACAGAGACGATGCCCCCCCCCCCCCCCGACGACTGTACTAAC